GCGACATTAATGGTTACATTTTAAGTACGACTGTAAGTTTAGACTTTCTGGTAAAATTATTACATGACCAGTGGTCACGGGTAAAACCAAAAGTGTGTACAATAGACAGTGTGTGTAATCTAAATATAGCTATTTGCACGTGTTCACTGTTCATCATGTTTTTAGATTTTACCTAGATACTATTGAATTGGACGATATAAAAAATAAAATAAAATTCTGAAAACTCATCGCACTTAAAGGATGAGGGGACCTTAGAATTTACTTCCAAATATTCGCGTTTAAGTCCTGTGAAAGTGTGTAGAATCAAAAAATACGCCGGACTGTGAAATCGATAATTCGTGCAATATCACGCCGCGCTCCTATTGGCTGATAGCAACTTTGGGCTGTGACGTCACTTATGTGTTAAGACCAACGTGCGCACGCACCCTTTGCTCGTGTCAACACTTTGTTCTGTTCTGTTTTAATTACGTCGTGTTACCTTTGGCGTTTGCGAGAGCGGTATCTTTGGTTGCACTGAATTAGTCTAAGTTACGAATAATTCTCTTTAATAATAATAGTTAAATGTAACTCAGAAAGGCTTTCTTGTAGTTGTAGTAGGTATTTCTATTTATAAATAGCAAAGATAAGCAGCATCCGCTAACTAAACCACAAACTGCTATTTTGTTTTGACTTGTTTGAAACCCGATATGGACACAATTAAAAAGAATGTATGATGTAGTAGAAGACATTTTACTAGCTGGCCCTTGGCGCCTCTAGTCCTATCTGAGTACGCACCTGCGGTTTGACACTGCGCGTGTACCGGCCTTTAGTTGTACACTCATTTATAATTTACCGTTTTAGTTTGGTGTGACTTGAGTGTAAAGCGTAACGAATGTGGATGTGTTCGTCTGCTATGCTTGGTATAATATTGCTTGGTGTAATAGTTGCAAATCTTGCTTACGTTATATAAGTAGTGTCACATAGTGAGTTAGAACTTAAAAGCTTGGTGCTTGGTGCTTGTCCAACTGGAATGAAGACATGCATTTCATACCTACCCGATCCATTTTTATTAGGACCGTGTTGTGTTGATATGACATGTTGATATATCAACTGTGGTACGAAACAGGGAGTTGCTAGGTGTTACGTTGGGAGCTATAAATATACATAATTTTTTCTGTGTGACTTCAATCTTATTCCAGGTGTATCTCGGCTCATGGTTATCGTAGGGTGATAATTCTTTTTTCAACCGGTCATAAAAAGTCTCCTCTCCATTGGTTATAGGCTCGTTAGTATCGTAAATTGTTAATTTATTCTTAATTAGTAATTTAGTCGGCCCGCAGGCTCATTTTACCTGTATTTCTATATGCGCGGATCAGAGCAACTCACATAATTGACGTCACAGGTTCAAATTGTTTTGGCTGGATATCTCGGCGCGCGAATGAAATACAACTTTGCGGATTTCACTAAAGTGGTTTATACGATTAATGTAATAAAAGGATTTACACGAGAAAAAAACTTTTTCTAAGGTCCCCTCATCCTTTAAGTTGAGCTTAGGTTTAACTAATTAACTAATTAATTTAACTAATTAAATAAGTAAACTCACTCGTTTTCTGAGATGTGCAGAGTCTGCAACTGAGTCACCTTGCTTGTTAACGCTTGTAATCTCTCAATAACATGCGTTCCCAACTCAACTAGGTCGAACCTGTGAATAAATAGTTAGAGAATTAAAGGAATTAAAAATAGAGACTGCTCAATGAGAGCGGGTTGTTTGAATTACCTAGTCCCTACTTGATTTAACTGGTATTATGAACATTTAATAACTCTAATTAGCAAACTGCATCAACTCAATTTGACAATTTACAGCTAATTCACAATTCAACAACCTTCAAGGACATTATTTAAAGTTAATTTCTGATGGTAAAAACGATCATACGGCTTCTTAAAAGTCTATAAAAAATGTCAATTCTTCAATGAGGTAATTTTAAAGTAACAACATGGCAATACGTACATCGAAGTTCGAACGATGACTAAATTGAGATATTGGAGATAAAGTTGGAGATAAAGATGTTATTGTCCTAGCAGCAATAATGGCTAATGATATTAAAATATCACCTCGGATATAACATCATTAATCTTCTTTATCGCGAAGCAATCCCATAAATATAATAAATCGATCTTTCTTTAGCCTTATACCTTTCTTTGTACGCTCTGTAGTCTGTATATTAAATCAAAGTTCTAAACAAGGGATAGTCTAAAAAAACAACGCCCAAGTCTAATCTTTCCCTAAAACAAAAAACTAAATAACAAAAACTTCATTGTAATTTCTGCCAATATCTCTTGTCATAAGCTAAATTACGGAGATAATGTAGATCGAAAATATTATTCATATAAAGATTTTTTTACATAAATCATGCACAATCAGCGAGAATAGATTGCTTTGGGGTCTTCCTCTTCTCCCTGGTAAGTCTAGTGTATTGATGGCAAAAATGAGGGAAGAAAACGCTGGTCCGTCAACAGGACCCCGCAAAACATGTCCTAACATTCTCCACCGACTACGGGCCACTTTTTCTGACAATGGTTCAGCAATCAGCATTGCAGCGTTTATACAAGTTTTTGTTGGAGATGACTCCTGGGTACTTTATATTCAAAATAGTGCGAAGATGTCTGCGGTGAACAACATCTAGTTTTTCAAGGAATATTTTGGGGACGGCCCAACAGGATGAGTTGTACATAAGATTATAAGAACCGATACGACTAAAGCATTGTACAGTATTAGACGTTTGTTTAGAGGCAGTTTATCACTCCAGGCCTTCTTGTAATTGTTGAAAAGTTGAAAGCAGCATATCCTAGGTTTATGCGACGCTGAACAGGCTTGTCCGCCGCCGCCGAACGCCGCCGCCGCCGGGTGATTTTGCCACGCCGAACGCCGCCGATACACCCCGGCGTACATCGGCGTACGGCGTGCATTTTCTGACTTCAAAATGTTACTGATAGCGATTAGCGGCTAGGGGCAACACACACATGATACACACCTTTAGCTAACTTAACAATATTGATTATCAGAAGAACTGAGCAGATACCTACTCATAAGTTTGACTGAAGAAGAAATTTTACAATTCGAACTTTTAAGATTTTGGGCCGATAGGCAAAAAAATTTCCCAATACTCTCAAACATAGTAAAAATAGTGCATTGTATACACTATACCTGCCAGTAGTGCGGAAATTGAAAGAACCTGGTAGGCTGCAGGTTTAATTCTTTCTAGTCAGCGATCTAGGATGAATGTTAAGAATTTCAAATATACACTGTTTTGTTCTAAAAACTATGATTTTGTTTCCAACAAAAAAGATTGAGAGATCCATTGATTTCAGCAATAATTTATTGTTTATGTATTTTACCTTAAATAAAATAATTGTATCAATTTGTCTCAACTTTTATTTGATAGCAGATAATACCATAACAATATACCAACATCATTTGTTGAAGTTAAGTCTAAACTACCCAAATTAATTATTAAGTACATGATCATATTCATATTTCATAGACCTCAATTTAGTTGGCCTTGATTTCACGGCTCACGCCGGCGTACGCCGCCGCCGCCGGTGTAATTTTAGTGAAACGCCGCCGCCGATCCATTTAGCCACGGCGGACAAGCCTGACGCTGAATATCAGCTTTGCTACACAAGACGGACCCTAGACTCTAGAGTGATACTTTTCCTCCATGCTTCATTCCCCGACAATAATTTTCCATCACTATCGACTTCACCCGTACTAGCTAAATAAACATGAGTGAAGTCCGTTTTGTCTTCATTGACAAAGAGGTTCCATTTCTCGAGTATAGCTGTTGCCTGGGGCAAAATAGCTCTCAAGTTGTCTTCCTCTTCATCATTGAAGTCGACATCATCAGCATATTCAGTGTCAAGTGGAAGGCCAGCAATAGTAATCGCCAATCGGGGGAATCGGCCTATCTAAACCGATTGTTATAGTCCATCTAAGTTCATTCAAAGCACCAGCTAAGACAAGGGTGAACAGACAGCCGGATAAACAGTCACCTTGGAAAGCTCCAAGGAGACTTAAAAACTCAGCTGAAAGAACTCCATTTACTTTCACCCGTAGCTTTAGACAACAACAACCGGACAATCCTCAGCTCATCCTCAGTACAGCCACACAGTTTCAGGAGTTCAAGAATCGTCGTGCGTTTGATCGTGTCAAACGCACTAGACATATCAATGCCCATGCGATGATACTCCCATTTCTTCCTTTGGACAACCGACAGTAGAACTCGCTGACACCAAACAATATCAGCACAAGAACGAGCGCGTTTATATGCACACTGCCACGGACCAGTGAAGGCGTTCACTTTTTCTTCTATCCTTGTACGCTCTGTAATACAAATTAAAATGTGTTCTAGAACGAATGAAACATCCGTGTAAAGGTGTAACATGGTTATTTATCGAGGGAGCACCACTAAACCACCTAATCTGTGTAACATTACTATTGACTAATCTGTCGATTACCATTAAACAATTATGTATTTAAAATATACGTATCAACAGGAAATTTAAGCTTTACACACATTTTAAGGATTGGTATACACTATGTACAGTGCAGTATACATGTAGTTTAATGGAAACTTACTGTAAACAGTTATCTTGAGGTGTTGTGTGTAACCACATCAGTATTGTACAAGCAAGCGCTACTTAGGTGCTTAGTGAATACTTGAATAGAAGAGTGTGACAATAAGTATTAACAATAACTACTGATATAAATTAACTGCAGTAACATGGTGCAACTATAAAACTTACCCCCCCCCCCCCCCCCCCCCCCCCCCATTTCATTTCATGACCACTACAATGTCAGAACAGTGTCCACACAATGTAAGAACAGTGTGTACACACATTGTTAGAACTCACAATGAGATACACACCCTAAAATGACATACCAGACCCCATTGTGTGAATAGAAACACGTACAACAGTCAACACGTGTGAAACACAGCAACATACCATGGGTATTGGGTAGTGTACCATGTAGTGGTGGGAGGTTAAATGTAGAGATGTTTACAAAACCCCCACCTCATGAGGATTATTACACTTACGATCTGTTAAACATATTTAACATTACAATTACATAATATAACATAAATTCTGTTCTGGGTAAGTTTTATATTAATAATGAACCATTATTAATGGTTTATATTTACAGCTGTGGACTGCAAATGAGAACATGGTAGTAATTAGAAGTCAGTGTTTTGGTAATTCATTAAGTCGGCAATATCAACTAAAAGAAGCAGTCCAAGACATTAATTTTCGGGAGGGTGATACTGAATGTTCAAGATTGCTTGACACCTTCAATTGAATTTTGAAAGTTTGAGATCAATAAACTGAATCTAAGAATTCGTTAAACTGTAAAATTAATTTCAAGGGAATTTACTCCGCGATGTTAAAACTTCTTATAATGGCGTAATTTATTAATTTGATATAAAGATTCATCGCAGGATTGCTCTATAATTGGGAAAATAAGGAGACTGATTAATAAGTAGGAGTATTGAGTTACTGTCGGGAAGGCAGTGTTTTTGGGACAATGATATCATGGCCGGATCGCTCGTGATGCAGATTACCCATCTACAAATAGCATTATCATCTCCTCTTTCTTATAAAATCCTAAAGTCACACACTTTGTTTTGTCGTTATGTTCACCTTGCCTCTTTTTCTGTTAGTATGTTGCAGTAGAGTTGTGACTTTTCAGAACACCCGCATCCCGCCAGAAACTAAAGATCAGATCCTCGCAACAGCAGATGTGAACACAGCTTTTGAGTTATATCAGCAGAGTTATACGCCGAGTTATAATACGCCATCTGTACTCTTCTTGACTGGGTCGACTCGTAGAAGAAACAGAGCTCAGAAAAGACAAGAGAGGAGGAAGAAAGCTAACTTTGTGATATCTCTGGGGGAGATAAGAGAACATAATGTGAAGTATGAGAGAGGAGAGTCCTGGTATCGTATGTCAGTTAACCAGTTCTCTGTGATAAGCTCCACCGAGAGGAGGAGATATCTCGGGTATCTGGGAGATGTGGACCAGAACAGGACCAACTCAACCAATATAACGCTATTAGGAGGAGGTAAGGAGAGCTACCCTGATACACTGAGCTGGAGAAAGAGAGGCTACGTAACAAATTCAGTAGACCAGGGTGAATTCTGTCTCTCATGTTGGACATTCCCAGCTGTAGCCCTGCTAGAGTTCGCTCTGAGAGAAGTATCAGGATCTTTACTCCCTCTATCTGCGCAACAACTGCTAGATTGTACCTACGAGGAGGTGGTGGACGTAGTGGGACCTCGCCATGATGGGTGTAAGGGAGGGAGGTACCAGGACGCCTGGAGATACCTTATCTCCAGACAACACCTCACTTCACACACAGAGTACCTCTACAGAGCCGCAGATAGGAAGTGCAGGTACCACAGGTACTCTAATAAACTTGAGAACTATGTTAAGTTAACCGGGTACAAGGCTGTACCCTCTGATGCTGACGGTGGTATGGAGGCGGTGCAGGTGATGCCACTTGCTACAGCGATAGCGGCTGAAGATGAATTGTGGCTGTATGATAAAGGGATATATGATGGCTGTACACAGAGACACAGGGTTCCAGATCACGCAGTGCTTATCACGGGATACGGGATTAAGTACTGGGAGATAAGGAATAGTTGGGGACCAGATTGGGGGATGGATGGGTTCCTCAAATTCTTCAGGGGACAGGGTGCCAGAATGTGTTTCCTCCTGGACTATGCGTTTTATATCACTTATCAGAACATGAAATCACCAGAAAACACTGTTTCTCCAACTGTTCCTTCCACAACAACGTCCGCCAATTACAAAGCTTCAAACTGTACAGAAGGAGGAATGTACGAGACAAAAACTGAGGAAGAAGAGAAGGGAAAGAAAGAGGAGAAGAAAGAAGAGGAGGAGGAGGAAGAGGAAGAAATGGAGGTAGAAGAGGAAAAAGAAGAACAAGAGGAAAAAGAAAAAGAGGAGGACGAAAACGGAATGTCAGACGAAACTAGGATTAAAAAAGAGGAGGACGAAAACGGAATGTCAGACGAAACTAGGATTAAAAAAGAGGAGGACGAAAACGGAATGTCAGACGAAACTAGGATTGAAGAAGAGGAAATGTCAGGAGAAGATGAACCACCAGGGTCAACAGTGGACTATAAAACTTTAGACTCCGAGTTAACCGCGGCTGACAATGAGGACTGTAATGATGATCCAGAATATAAGTTTCTGTGCCAGCAGTGGTCCAAGTTGCCTGGTGATCCCTGTAATGCTGGATCCTGGCTTATCTTCACCCAGTATCATTGTATGAAGTCATGTGACAAATGTAGTGAATGTCAGGATAAACACCCGAGCTCTTGTAAATCGTGGGCAGATGAGGGTTACTGCCATGATTCAAGTGAACATCAGGTGTGGATGAAAAGCAACTGTGTAGAATCTTGTGGTTACTGTTAGCTCAGACTGTCGGACATTTCCATGGATTTGGATGATAACAGTAACGATCAAGTTATTACTTTGGGTGTGCCCCTAGTCACTAGTCAGATATGAGTTTGTTAATAAGACAGTGCGTCATACTAATTAATTAATAATTATTAGAGATTTAAATGCTAATATGACAGTTAAAAATCACTTTTTTTAGGACACCTTTCACAATTTGATTACGAGCGGTAACATTTAGTGCAAAAAGGGAACGTTAATTATAATCATGGGCGTAATTTACCGAGACAATAGATTTAATTACTTAATTGCTAGACAATTCTCACAATTACATAATTGGTCAGGAATCGTTATATTCCAGTCATTACGAATTAGATTTATTCATTGTTTCACTTTCTCTAGAAACATTTCAATCGCCCCAAAAAGCAACGTACTTGGTTATAAATGTAATTCTTAAACAATTAACTATTATTAAGAACTGATATAATAGTGTAATCGTTCTATGTGATAGGACAATAATTAAGGGCGTCGCGTAAATTTACAAACCTTACACGAAGGAGTTCAAGTACAGATTTAGAATGTTTGTGTCTAGTTCCCAAGAAATGAAGGCTAATTTGCCATCTCATTGTAACCCTCCTGAGTACATTGGAATGTACACACAGGAGTCCCTGTACTGTACACAGCTGTCCACCATTACGAGTGTGTTGAAGGTTTATTTCACACTGATGTACTGTAGTACAGATGAGAAGTCTACCCCGAGTTTAACTCCTCCACTTAATATTTACTCCGAGTCTAACTCCTCCACTTAATATTTACCCCGAGTCTAACTCCTCCACTTAATATTTACCTATCAGAGACTGAAGTAAAGAGGTCGGCAGCTCTGAGAGTAGTTTGAAGAACAGGTAACAGTAACTTTAGTCTGTCCTGTTTCTCCTGAAGTCCACAGAGACAGGAGCCAGCGTACTCCTTACAATCCTCTATCAGTCGCTCCTTACATAACTCCACTGCTTTTGTTATGCTGCTGTACGTCTCATCTATCTCTTCTAGTCTCTGGAGTGAGTTATAATTAGAACAGTTGAGATACAGTACATTAACTTGGTATGAAGAAATAAATACAGCAGCCTTATAGATAGGGTAGTTTTGAAGTTACATAACACGTACTTCACGCACTACATTTGTGTGTATCATTATCTTAACAACATTCCCTGTAGATAATTACAACGGCTCAAATTCAACATGAGATTTGTGCCAATATAATCACCCCATATTCGTACTTCAATTTCTTTTTTCAATCTTAGTGATGTAATCAAACTGTGATCAAATATCGGCAACATGTCACACGTGAAGAAAGCCAGCCAAAAATTCGACATTCAATCCACTAATGAACAAAACAAAAAACTCTGCTTACTTTTTGAGAAGAGTCTTTGGTTTCAGTTATCATGAGATCAATCTTGTCCACAAGTTCTGACAAGGAACTCTGTGTAGTACAAGTGTACTCGATACTCTTACACATAGCGTTCTGTACCGTACTGTACGCTGTCTCAATATCCAAACAGTGCGTTCGCTTGGACAGCCCAATCTCTCTGAAGCAGCTTATACACACTAGACTCTGGGGGAGTGTTTAATTTCAAGAGTAATTCTTGGCACATACTATATATAGTACAATCAGCTTACCCCTGCCTAGTATCTTATGTCAGCTAACATAATATCAAGACATCCAATTCAATCTTAATAAAGTCGAAATATTGCAATAAGCTAAGATCCGCCTAAGTAGGGGATGTAAGGATTTGATTGGATTATGTTATATAGTGTAAGAAATATGTATATTTAACTATTACTATTTAACTATTATGTATAAAGGTATAAGAAGAAAAGTGAACCTTATCTTCAGCATTGAACATAATGAAAGGTTCATTATGCAATGAGCACATTCGTTGTTTGTTCAATCGTTTTGATAAGATATCAACAATCTCGTGTTTCGCAAACATCTTGGCTGAGTGGGTGAAATCTCTACACTTTTGACAAAGGGGCTGACTGAAAATGATATTAATTCATGAAAAGAACTAAGAGTCAAGAAACAAGCTTAAAACAATAATAATAATACAAGTTAGAATTAAAGAAGTAAAATTTAAATTTAAATATCAACAGTCTAATAAGTATGTACATGGTAAAACAATATCAATAGAAACTAACTGAGCAATAATAAAGTAAGAATACCTGCAAGTGTTGCAAAACAACATGACATCAATAGAATGAGATTGCTCACAATTTGCACAGGATATTCCCTCTAAGGTCTGTTTGTTAGACATTAAATACTCCACCAGCAAATCCTTTGGGATCTCTGGAAGTGGAGGTATGATCCCACTGCACACTGGACACCTGGAACAACATTATTTATTTAGCGTTAATTATCATATTTTTGAATTATTAAATACATATTTAACATACCAGTATTAATGGAAATTATTGAAGGTTGTCATATTTTATCAAGTAATAATTTGTACCATTCTCAGGGAACATGGCAGTGAAGTTGACTGAAGAAGGCTAGGGAGACCTTAACCAAGAGCATAATTTTTAAAACATAGCAGTACCTGGTTTTATCTAAGTCTAAGCAGTCAAAGCATACTGAATGAAGACATGGTAACAGTCTTGGTTCTTGAAAACTCTTTTTACATGAGGGACAAAGCATTGGAGACAAAGTCTTCATTTCTTCTAATGCTGCAGCAGCAGTCATTTCACGTAGTCAGATGAAACCTACTGCAGAACATTACTGTTTAATCGATATTTCGATTGATTTCATTGAATAACAATTTAATTTCAAGACTGAGCATGGTAAGTATACTGAAACAAAATAGGAGAAAGTTATTACGGAGGTGAAAAGATTGGTAAAAGCTGAGCTTGTCACCAAGCAGCATTCTAAAGTGATTTTCTCAGCTAACCAGCGTAGCAATCAGTAGGGAAACGTACCTGTGTGTTGCCCCCTCCCCCCGCAAATTTTTTTGCTGCCCCAAAATTTGATTGGTCCTCTAAATAAAATTTGTTTTTTTTAAAGGTTGGGCCTTCTTTTTGCTGCCCCCTACAGCTTTTTGCCGCCCCTGTTGAAGCAAAAATGCCCCAAATATTTGTTCACTTCAACCGAACATTAAATTGGACAGAATAATACACATAATATTGAAATTCAGGAAAAAGCATTACATAACAGTGAATCTTGCGGCTAACCTAATTATGATTCATTTACCAACGCTGCATATGCAGTAATGGGAGAGAGAGCGAGAAAAAGTGAGCAATTATATGTCACAATTGTGCTACAAAACCATCAATTTATCCACTTACCAGCGGCCAATTTTTTTAAAATTTGCCAATTGGCTTTGTCAGAGTTTTGTCGAAACTATACCAAAAAAATCACTCCCATAACTCTAATCTTTTCTTAATTAAGCCGCTTGGAAATTACACACGCACAGACAGACAGACATTCTGAGATTATTATTTAAGATTATATATATTGTCTTATTAGTATTACTGTTTATCTAAACTATATTTTAAACTTGAAGAAATCCCCCCGGCAACGAGGACATAAAACAACACTGAAAATCGACCAAAAACCGACCCTCTGGCGTGACCAATTGCAATTTCAGCTCGCAAATGGAGTTGAAACCTCGCGATATCTAGCAGGGTTGTAAAAAAGGATAGGAATAGGAGATAACATTCTTAGAATTTCGATTATCGCTTTAGATTTTCTATAATTAACGTTGGAACTGAGGTAAATAAATAAATATAAATAAATAAATAAATAAAGTCAATTTTTACAGCACAGCAATATATATCTAAATATCAGATCCTCTGTAATCATAATGTATAAAAAAAGGAGCTTTTCTCTGTGCTGAAGGATGAATCAAGGCAGATCATGGTTCTGTTAGCAGGCCACCCTAGTTATGGACAATACATAAAATATATAAAATAATTAAATTATAATTTTAAAATTGTGTCAAGATTGAACTAAAACATAACTCAGGGTAAAATAGACGTATTCCCTTCGTCAAATTAACTATTTACAATACTAAACTTAAACGAACTCCGGGTAAAATAAACGTAAAATGAACGTTAGAATAATGGCGTAATTTCATCAAAGGTTACCTGCATCATTGCTTAACAACATCAAGAGATTGCATGTGCGCGAGCAAGAACAGATTAATAACGCGCGTTGCCATGCTTTATATTGATACATGATACGTCATAACTAGCTCACATTTACGCTCACGATATCACTATTCATAACTTTGGTTGTGATCGATATTTTTCGATGCGGTAGAAAGTATTGTACTTAGGGAATTTGAATACTTACAATTTTTTCGTCATTGTCAAATAAAACCCATACTTTCTACAGTACAGACCTTAGAGCTAGATGATTAGGGATTAGAGAAATTTAAACATAAATAATCTTTTAAATTTCCTCAAACAAAGCTTTCAGCTGGCGGGTTTCTAGTTGAATTATGGTTTACTAACAATTAGATAAACCCACTATTCCCCCACACTGATATCCCGGCACTTTTTTGTAGATTTGCTATACAACAGACTCACGGGTCAGCATATCATCAAAATCATACACACTCTCCTTTTCTACTTTAAGTTTACATGCTATAACTTAAAAATGAAGATCTTGCGGTTTAATGCATACTAAAGATACTAAGAACTAAAACTACAGATCCGAGCTCGTTATTGGAAAAAATTATTGTTTCGTCGAATTTGTAATTTCCAAAATAGTTAAAACATTTTCTACTAACGGGTATATCAAATATGCCTTGGTGCTAGGTAGTGCGCCATCGACAGTGAGCCGCGCGTGCCGACTGTAGGATGGTTTTTTAGCGCTGATTTCGGCCAGCACAATTTTCTTCAAATAAATAGATATTGAGTATCCTTCCCGACCTCCGATTGCAACAAAAATTGGTAAGCTTACTCATAGACTTACAAGGAAAGTGTCCGAAAAATTTAAAGCATATCCAACCATCAGACATTATGTTACAGCTAAAAGCAGCGTATTTTGCTCCATTTTGATCAATATATCAACTCCGATATCCACCAAATTTTTCGGACAGTTGTGAAAGCCCTATTGGAAGGTCGTCGCCAATTTCCAGAATGATCTCATTTAAGGAACTGAAGATATATCCGAATAATACGACAAAAATGGTCAAATTTGGACGAATTTGGTCAAATTACGCGACTTTTACAGCTAATTTTGCTCCAAAAGCCGCGCATCATCAAATATGGCACTTAGGCAATACTCACTGATCTTTCCAAAAAGGTATGACAAATTTGGTATTGTGAAAATTCTCACAGTCTCTAGAAAACAGTGGTACAAAAAATTTTAAAATCCGAGCAAGTTTATTTTTATCGTGCACCCCCTATTGGTGCACTCTTGTGATTGACTAGATAGCAATTAACAATTAAGTAGGTCCGGCAACCTTTCAATTACAAGTTCATTAACTGTACACCAAAAATTTCTTCAAGGTTCGAATTAAAAAGTTACTTAGATTGCTAGTTTCTATCGCTTGGTTCCCTTCACATAGAAGGTACAACATCAAAAAGCTCAAAAAGAGCGCAAGTGGAAATTGTCGCACCAGAGTTCAAAATGTAGAATATATGTTCATTATGTTTTGTAGGTTAGTAACCTACCAAAACGCGCACTGAGTTGGACTCGTCGAGGGTATGTAGCTTGAAAAACGCCTTGCACTGAGATTGGTGATCTAGATAACAAATAAGATAAGGCTCATTAGTGTATTAGAATCTTGCTCTGGGACAAAATTGTAAACACAATTAATTGCTTATGTTTGTTAGCTTTTTTATTTTGAGGAGAAATTTTTAATTTTTTTCCAGAAGGCACGAGGCGCTATATTTATATTGTCTACGAAAGCACATTTAATTTGATACGTATAATATTGCCACACGTTGTAGACCCGCCGCGCATGAGTACGCGGCTGTATCGTGGTAATTTCACCCCGATGCTAAGTGAAATTACAACAAGGGTCACAACATGATACAAATATAAGCTAGTTTTATAACTTGCTTAGTTATTTTAATTTTAATTTTTTTAAATTAGACATGAAGAACTTCTGAGTCATCAACTTCTTTTTCGGGAACCCCTTCAAGGACATCGTCGAAGGGGAATACTACACCTTACATATATTGAAATTTAACGGGTGATACTCATAATACATTTGTTCCAAATTGATTCACATAGCCATGTGTATACGCGTACTGCGTGACGCGCTTGTTTCACTTGTATCACGTTGCGACCCCCACGGTCGTTTCACTATGGTCCTGACTATGCTCCTCACTTTATCGTCCTGACGATACCTATACCAGATACAGGGGAGCCGCGCACTTCGTGCGCGGCGGGTCATACAACGTATGACAAATATTCACGCAATTAATTACCTGGGGACCTCAGGCTATCATGTGTCATGTTCATAAACATAAAGAATAGAGATTAGGCGGAATGACAGGCTGAGCGCGGCCCAGTAAGCAATTAATTGTGCTTTTTACGGAGAAAGAAGTGAAACAGTAACATTTTTGAGCTTGTTATTTTCTTCCAAAATTAACGGGTGATACTCGTAAAATATTTGTTTCAAATATTAACAGGACCGTCGACGAGTCCAACTCGGCGCGCGTCCTGGTAGCTGGTTATAAACATACAATTCCAAAAGTATTCCAAGTAATTTATATAAATGATAAATGCATGTATTGATTTTAAATACAATGCAATGCAAAATATTTGATATCAATTCATGAAGTTTGAACCAAGTAATTAAAACGCGTGCAATTTGAGGAGTGTACTGCTTTCTCGGGAAATATAAACCGCGCTTTTTCATAAATCAGAAATAATGTTTTTTACGTCAACTCAAAATTTAACCGCGGACGATGCAGCGCATGCAAAGCGACGACGTCAAACGTCCTAGTCCTCCAACTCTATAGTCAGTGTAATAAGGGACAAGCGCGAGCATTACCTGGGGACCTCAGCGCGGCCCAGTAAGCGCGAGCACAGTAATTTTGTCTCTGATTTTGATAAATTTGGTACCAAAAGTTGCCTCTAAGTGTGAATAATGCAAATTCACCGTGTAGCACGATAACGTCGAGGTGTATGTGGGCCTCCTGTGTATTGCAAGAGTGTAAAAGGACGAAAAACAGGTAATTTCTTGCTTAAAATGCATATAGCTCCTAAAATATTAAATATTTTGACAGGACAACTATTACCCCCCCCCCTAAGGCTTTTTGCGCCCCCCTGAAGCAAAAAAGGGTACCCCAAATATTTTTTTCGCGTCGACCGAACGCTCAATTGGACAGGGAGATACACAAACAAGACGTTTTTTCAGTGAAAGGGCCTAAAATTCAGGAAAATTGCGCCCCCCTTATACGGCACCCCCCCCCCCCCGCACAGTGGGGTCTGCGGGGCCCTAAGTTACGCCACTGAAAATGATCAATTAAACCACTTACCACCGATCGATTTTAAAAAACCTTTATAATTTGGCTTCATCAGAGTTTTCTCGGGCACTATACAGATAAAACCAGCCCCATAATTCTTACCGTTTTCTTGATTAAGCCTTTCGGAAATTTCCCACACACGCACAGACAGAGAGACAGACACGCATCCTGGGATTATTAGTATTGATGATGTACATATTATGCATACCTAAACCAAAAGTGTTGCGAATTGTTGATTGGTTGGAGTGTTAAAACATTTATTCTCATTTTCTTTTATGATGACAATTATACGCTATCAAACCTCTTGAAATAGAGAAAAGATATTATTCTTTGACTTATTTATTGATACTAAATGCTTTTGCTTCAGTTTGTTTCTTTGCTTCAGGAGTATGTACAATAGAAACAGAACCAACAGGGGTGAAAATCGTGTCATCAGATTTAAGTGTACACTTCAAAACACTATTACTGATGTGTTACGCTCTAGAGGATGGCAGGAGGTTAAAGAAGAATCAGGTTTCCTGTCAATAACGATTTATTAAACTCTTCGAATTGTACATGTCATTCTAATTAAAATTATAATTAAATTTACACAGCAATACAATAAAAGTAATTGAAAGACGCTTCAAACTGCCATGCTGTGCAGGACATTCAAGTCATAAAATTGCTTCTTGTTTCCGTTTTTTCGTATAAGGTGTAAGTGATTTTGATATAAATAAATACTCTGCAGGTGACTGGGACTTTTATTGGGCCGATGTTGGCTGGATGAGGGAAGTGTTTGATCACTGTTACATGGAGGAGCACATGAGACTTAATCATTTTCGAAACCATTATGAGTTAACTCGAAAAAATCTCATGGCTAAAAACTTGAAGCGGCTTAGAAAACAAATAGAACGAGACAGTGGAAAAATTGAAGCAGCAAAATGCGACTTTTTCCCAACAACTTTTGAGTTACCAGCTGATTACCATATTTTTGTTGAGGAATTCAAGCGTAGCCCAAATTCAACATGGATCATGAAACCTATAGCCAAATCACAGGGGAAAGGGATTTTCCTCTTTAGAAAGCTCAAGGATATCATGGAATGGAAAAAGGAAGATTCATGGAAGATAGACGGAACAAAGGATGACAGAGAGCCAGTTGAAAATTATGTTGTGCAGAGATATATTGATAATCCATACCTTATTGGAGGAAGAAAGTTCGATATCAGGTGTTATGTATTGGTAACTTCTTATATGCCACTCAAAGTGTGGCTATATCGCAGTGGCTTTGGAAGAATGTCGAACACTAGATACTCCTTAGACAGTATTGAAGATACATTTGTTCACTTGACTAATGTGGCTATACAGAAAACTGCTCCGGACTATGACCCAGAAAAAGGATGCAAGTGGTCTCTGATTCAACTTCGTATGTACCTCCTTGCAAAACATGGCCCTGAGGCTGTTGAAACTCTTTTCAGAGGTATGGATGATATTTTCATCAAAAGCTTACAAAGTACACAGAAGATTATGATAAATGACAAACATTGCTTTGAACTGTATGGTTATGATATTCTAATTGATGAATCATTAAAACCATGGCTTTTGGAAATAAATGCATCACCCTCCCTGACGGCATCTAACCAGCAAGACTACGATCTAAAGTTCAAACTGCTACATGACGTTCTAACAGTAATAGATATGGAAGGTAAATTATCTGGTAAAGAGAAGCAAGTAGGAGGGTTTGATCTCATGTGGAATGATGGACCAGTTCACTGTGAGGATTTGAGCATGGAAGGAGCACCCAACCCACCCTACACAACTAATACCATGTTAGGATGTTTCAACAACCGAGAGGAGAACTTGAAGAAGATGATGAGGAGTCATGGGTCGTCTAATAAAACTTGATGTTGTTTTGATGATGTTTTAGGCTGGACCAAAACGTATTTATTAGTAATATCAGATTAACTTAATTTTATTTCACAACTATGTTATACTTATAATGTGGTGATTGGCGGTGCTGTGGTGTATTTTTATTCAGAAGATTTACCTTTTTGTTATAAATCAGTATGATCTCTTGGACCCCTTCTCCCTGAATCCTTTAAGCTTGAAGAGATTTCTCCAAATAAAACCCGTCCATCTACTATCTACACGCAACTTGGGCCTATCAGACCATAGGCGATCAGTGCAGACTAGACCTACTTTTATTGTGATAATAGTACCTGACCCGTAATATGTGCTTTTAAATAATCAATTGCTACTACATACCTGAATTCTGAAAAATCTTTGACTCCAATTTTCAGACCACAACATTCAGAACCATGTTCCCTATAGCTTTGGGGAGTTTGAGATATGCTCTTATAATTTTAATAAAATTTAGGTACCATAGTCGTTTATATATTTAACTATAATTATATTTTCAAATGTACAGTGTATAATGTATAAATACTAATTTAATTATAAACACAGATGTAATGTATATAAATTATTTAAATCAGATTAAAAGTCGTTCGTAAATACAGCAGTTACATGAACTATATAATGCGAAGAGACGGTACATATCCAATATTATATATTATAGACTGGACTAAGTGCTTGTAATACATGTAAATGTACTACTTTATGAAGGTTGATCCTATTCGTTCCTGCAACATACATTGTATTATTATAATATGTACATATTTTATTTGTAGTTTGTCGTTTCAGTGGTATGATTTCAGAGCAGCAGGAAAGCTTTTTCTGTTGCGAGACAGTAGTCTCAAGTCACATTTGGAAATTCTCAACCTTGAATCTTGAACACATATCCTTACTAGAACTGGAATAATTTAAAGATGTAATCAAATCACGCATAATTAATTTAATTATCTAGAAACTTGTAATCTGAGGAATATTGTAATATTATAACCTTAATTAGCTGGTCAATATTGTAATATGTAACACTTAAACCAGTTTTTAGGAATGGCCGAAGCCAGGCTTGCAGTAGCCTTTCAGGTCCAAGTAACAGATGAAGGTGAATTTAAAGTCCACTTGGACAGAAGAATACTTCATGACGTGTACAGATCCATTAAACGTGTAATCAAGAGGAAGATATTCAAGTCCCGTAATGCTGCCATACAGGTGAATAGTTGTTTTCAGTCTTCTGATTGGTAAGCGGCAGTCACGTGTCAACTTGAACCTCTTTTGAGCTACACCTGTAACCACATGATGTTTAGCAATTGAAGTAATATTGTGGTACTATCAAGCTAATAATACATATATTATATAGATTATAGGTATATTATAACAGGTTCCCATTTCAGAGTGTATTTCCAGCAACCGGAATTTCGTGGAGTTTCTTCTTTGTGGTGTTTGGAGCGATGCAGATTTTAGGGGAGACTTCCGACACTGAGAGTGTTATTCAAGAAAAGATACCGCAGTGAGTTCAATCTTCTGTTTCATACATGATTCTTAGACATTAGACATTAGACAACCACGTGATCATAAAGATAGAAATTAATCTTATTTAAATTTGAATATTAGATAAATATCAAATTCGTGTAGTTTTGCTGCCAAGTTAATTAATATGTTAAATTTACCGCGGTTATTAGCATAGTAATAAGTAAAGTAAGTCACAGTTGCCACTAGCTATCCTATTCAGTAGCCAGAACTAATTATGCACCTAAGAAATAACTCTCCATCTCAGTATAACAAGCGGAAATAACACTTGGCAATGTAATTACCTTACAAACAGCTACTGCATTATAATATGTCGTACAGTCATGTTGCTCTTAATGAAATGTTAGAGTCTGAATAATAATATACAGCAGCTGTAGTAAACTTGTCAATACAATGAAACAAGGTTAATGTTAAAAGAAAATTTAGGATATTGTGTCCTTAATTATTCTGAACAATAAACTAGAGTAGTATTGCTGTCTGATAGGTAGTGTGGGCCGTGGGGGGCGGGGGCATAGTATTGTTTCAAAATTGTAAACATCACAATATTGCTTCACTTTAATTGGTTGCTAATTCACAATCTAAGATATCAATAACTTGACCGTTTTGACGGAAAAGTGCAATTTTAAATTTATTTCCACGTCCCCTGGTTCCCAAACAACTGGAACATGTCCGCCCTATATAGAAGTGGAAATGTAGTATCACGTGATGTGCACGTGATGTACAGTGTGGTGGCCCTAACATGTTGGGCTCACCCCTCGGGTACTAGGATAAACATCACCACTAACATATTATGGTGATCGGAGCTAGTTCATCATGTTAATGAGCGGCACTAAGTGACCAACTTTAATCTAACTTATTAAACAAGTCCAGGGTTTAATTAATTATAGTTGTAATAATAAATATGACCGTCAATTCATTAAGCGTCTGATCTCATTACTTATTGTAAACGTCCATCTAGCTCGATGGTTTGTTATTTTATTATATTTATATATTATATCTTCAGATTTGGCAGGTTAGACCCAGTTACCAGAACAATCCTGGTAACTCTAGTCAGTACCACACTTCTCTGGCTGGTCTGGTCATTCTTCCTCCGCAACTTCCTCAAACTACTCCTCACTTACCAGGGTTGGATGTGGTCTCCTCATGGGTAAGTTTTAACCTAAAACTTTAAAATTTATTCTTACTGGATTATTTTATTGAATCAGTCGCTAAATTATAATTCAGCTCATATTCAAATTAACAATTGATAGTATTCCAATAATACTGGTAATGATAATTTTATTTCAATAATCATTCTTATGATATTAAATGTTTCTTAACAAAAACTGCTGTTTTTTGATGATTTTGAAACCCTCAGTTAATAAAACTAAACAGATGGATTACTTTTACAGCATGGTCCCCAAAGTTCAAATGTGTCAGAGTAGCAATGCATTATAAACGTTCACCTTAACTATCAATCAAAAAAACATTATTCGTTCACAAAAACTCAAAAAATTAAATTACAAAAATATCTCTTTGTTCAAAGTTTGGGGACTATGGTATCCGTAGAACCATGAATGATGGTTCTATGAAACATGGAGAATGATATTCTCCATGTTCAGTTTTTATCCAATCATTTGGCAGTGCGACAGTGACGACGAAGCCCACCTTCCTTGATAAGCTAACCGAACCTTTGATATATCTCATGACGGGGAAGCGAACCCTGCCGTGGTAAATTACCAGACAAATGGCTGTCAGTCAATTGGACGCCAATTAGCTTTTAATTAGTTAATTAGACGCTAATTAGCTACACAGTTTGACCTCTGCGGGCAGAGACGAGCCGACAAGATGACGAACAAACTTTATACAATTAGACACACATAGAGACATAGTACTCACAGTTTACTCACGGTGTATATAATATACATGTTGAATACATGTTGTATACATGCTGTATACATCGTGTATACAAACTACTGAGTGTATACTGGATACCATGTAACAGTATATTAACTGTGGTTACTACAAGTATCATGCAGTGTATGGATAAAAACTTTATTTTTATTCCCTTAGAAAAGCTCATGTTGCTGAATGCTCTATTAGACTGCATATTAATAGATTCTTAACGTGATTCTTGTGAATGATCCTACCTCGCACTTAATTATCAATAACACTAACATTCTTAATGATCAACTCATATTGACGTCAGTGTCAGTCTGTTTCTTTATATTGATTAGTAAACTTTGTAAAATAAAGTAAAGCAGAAGTGCAAACCGTGCTTTGTTTCCCGACATCACGTGATAAGATCATAGTTTAGTTAGATATAATCACCTGTTATGTGTTCTCACTACTAATACTACTACTACTATTCTCACTGATAAATGGAACACACTATCTTGACTAAATTATTCAAATGAGTCGCGTTCAAAACTTATGTAGTTGTCATAGAGTGAAATGTTATTTATTATTATTATTATAAAGTAAGTGAAATGTTATTTAAAGATTAACAGATGAAATCAAGCTAAAGGGACGTGACAGCACGACAGATTGCTTTTATCGCTATCAATGTTTTGTGTGCATGAATTTTATCATTATTAGCACCAATCAAGATTCACGTGTTGAAAATTATTTTATTTTGTGTGAAATATTTTCTTTTTTGCTTTAAAATTAAGTTCACAAGCTTTGGAATAAAAGCAACAGAGAATTCAGTGATTTCCGTTCTAATCAACAAATAACTTGGTTTCGTATGTCTTCATGATTGTCGAAACTATGATCGAAAGATTGAATAACTCGGAGTTTCATTTCCGTGAAGCCGATCCTATTATAGGATAGAAGTAGAAATTTAAACGTGTTTATAGCATTGTATGTACAGATAAACTGTATGTTTGCACAGGAGGTGACCGGGACATGATTTCAGGCCTGACCGGGACCGGGACCGGGATACAAAATGTGACTTGACCGGGACCGGGACCGGGACCGGGACTGAGATTATCAATTTACCGGGCCTGACCGGGACCGGGACCGGGATGAAAAATGTGAATTGACCGGGACCGGGACCGGGACCAAGAACCCTGAATTAACCGGGACCGGGACCGGGATGAAAAATGTGACTTGACTGGGACCGGGACCGGGATAGCTCAAAATTGCCAATCACGGTACCGGGATTCCCGGAACCGGGAATCCCGGTCACCTCCTGTGTTTGCAAATATCATCTTACAATACATATTAATTACAGTCTTTAACCACTAAACTGTTATTGGTAATGAACTGGTATAACAGTATACCAGTTAAATGTATCTGTGCAATAGGTCGGACTATTTGTTGAGCTTATTTTTCGCTTTCACATTAAAATTTAAAATGGTAGGTGTATTGTGCAGCAAGTAAAATCCCCCATTATTTATTATACGTTCAATATCCATAGCGCTGTTGACAGAAAACTTATAATCGCACACTTGACTCACTATCTCACAGAATACACACGACAAAACAGCTTTATTGCTGAATATTTCATTTATATAATACTTTACTTTTGTTCACAAGTTTTGTTTTTTAAATCAATTGTTTTAAAACAAAATTTCAACAAAAAATCTTTTTATAAAAAAATGTTTTATTCAAAAATTTAATCTTTCGACGAAAGTATGTATATTTGAATCCACCAATGCAAATGCAAGCTGTACTTGTGGACTAAGAATAAAGCAACAACAATGAAACCTCGCAGGAAATTGTCGATAGGAGTAAAAGCCTGGATGATGACTTGTAAGATTATAATGGGAAAGCGTCCTAAACTGATGTCATTACAGAACTGCATGCCAAGTCTACCCGTACCTTCTGTAGCGGATACCATGAAACGGGTGAGTGATTCTTTATTTTAATTTGGTTAATTAATTGTTAAATACATAGATGTGGGGAGGGGAGGCATATTTGTTTACGAAAGGTAATTACGTGTTCGGCAGGGTTTAGAGATGATGCCCTTTTGGTAACGTTACACGTGTGTTATGGAACGCTTTTTTCACAAGTAGAAGCAATACCAAAACCATGTCCTGTGATGCCAGTTTAAATTTACCTACGTTCCCGTTCTTTCACATGTCGTGCTACTTCTACATTTTCAACCATGAATAGTAACAAATTGCTTCTACATATTTATTGTATATTGCTTCTACTTGTGAAAAACACACGTGTAACGTTACCAAAATAGGCATCTGAACCCTGGCCTGGCGAGCACGCAATTAAAGTAAACAATTATACCTCACCGGAATCCACATCTATTAATTGGGTTTAATCGGGAATGTGTTTTTAAATGATTAAGAACAATACACAGCCTACCTATTCCTAACTTCAATAAGAAAGGACTCAGTTGTTATTTATTGATAACAGTACCAATAAGCATCACGAGCTTTTGTATTTAAGCTGGGTAAAACTTGACGCTGAGTATGTGACCGCACCCGGTCAAATACCAATCGTCAGTTGTTCACATAATATAAGTGTGTGATATAGTTAATGTGGCCAGGTGCCACATACCAGTGCTGTACGTGTATTTCTGGAATAATCTCTGGATATATCACTGTAACGTGAGTGTGATCTCCAAAATAAGATTAGGAAGTATCATTTTCTGATTTCTGGAGTACTCGGACAGACCAGCGTGTAGCTAGCTCTGAAATTGAATGGTAGTCACAGGATGGCACAGGGTGTCTGACGTTGTTGGAGTGTTGCCCATTAAATTAGTAAATTAGCTGTCAGCCGTTGCCAAGTTGACGATATGTCCGTTTTATTACGCGTTACTATCAGCGTACATATTCTGTCTGGTAAATCAGTGTAACCATTAGGAACAATATAGAACACTGTAGAAGGAGGCGGTGGTAATAAACACGCTATAAAGCTGCATGAGATGCCAGCTAACAGTTTGCTAACAGCGTGACCGTGCTTTTAATTGCATGCACCGCTTTAAAAGGGATAATATTGGGCTGCTCTTCTTTTAAATATTATAGCTCGTGACTCTAAAGAATGTATAAGAATGTTTCAACAACTGTAGTTTACATTTTATGCTGTAGTTATTTAGGCGGAATGCACTGTACCGAATAGTCGATGTGGAATTCAAAACATCACATATCTCCAAACATTTGCTTCCATTGGCATTATTCTCCAAATCGACCACTTATTTTTGTTTTGAAGTGAGTTCATAAGTAGGAGGATGTATACGGAAACAATTATTAATTTACTACTAATGTCCCACTTCACAACCGTCATTTGTTGTCCAAATATATTATTGTTAAATTGGGCACTAAAATTCTTATTCCTTGGCCAATTTTTATTTTTTCATGCTGATTTGAAAAGCATAAAAGCATTTGACCTAGTCAAAAAAGTTTCAGTTGTATATATTTTACGGTTTTTGCGGAAAGTCGTGTTAAAGTTGATGCCGTGGTGTCAGTAAAATGGCACGGATAAACATATATCGTCTCGCTTTATATATAGTAAGATAAAGATTATAATTGCAGTATCTGTTGACTGTTCGACCGTTTGTGAACGACGAGGAATACACAAGACTCCAAAACTTAGCTGAAGAGTTTAAGAATGGTCTTGGTAAACGATTGCAGAGATACCTGTGGGTCAAGAGCTGGTGGTCCTCCAATTATGTAAGTTCATTTCTCAGATTTGAGAAAATACCCAACACTAAAATTGCTTGAATACCTTCATTTTCTTAAGACATTAACACTACACTAATGGTTTAGATTAGCAAATCATGTTTATTGTTTAGGTTTATGAGCTAACTATGCAACTACAAATTTATGCAGACACATTTTGTTATTATTGTAAGTAACGTGTTGTTCTCGTGTATAATGACATAATTAATTAATAAGATAATTACTGATTTAATGTACTATTTTATAAAGCAAAACATTTGTCAACAGTAAAGTTACTGTTGGGAGCACATTTTCATTTCAATTCGTGTACGATGTACTGATTTCTGTTTACACTTAGAAAGTTGGTCGTACAATCTTCAAACAAATCAGTGTCAAAAATATAAATATCGTTTTGACAGTGGTATCATATTGACGCCAGATAGTTTCATACCGTTATAATTGCACCGGTAATTACAGCAAACATTACAGAGAACAAATGAAGTTATCCTGCAGGTGAGTGACTGGTGGGAACAGTATGTTTATCTACGTGGCAGATCTCCGCTTATGATAAACAGCAACTACTACTGTTTGGTAAGTACTATGAAACGAAAGTAGCAGTTCTAACGTAAATATTGATAACTTACAGGAACACGCGGCGTTATTTTTGTAGACAGATTTATTTCTTGCGCGCGGAATAGTTGCCATGACGTCATGACGTACCTGATAATGCGACGCGCGCGCTCTGCCTGGTCTATATTTAGTCGCTCCTTCACGTGACATTCCTGCATTAATTGGGTGTTGGCCTCAAATCTAACCTGATGAAGATGTAATGTAAATATTCTCGATTATGTTCGATATTTGAAACCAGGACGTCCGTGCTCTGAAATGTACATTTTTCTACCAATCAAGATAGATTTCTTACAAAATTAAATTTTACATCGCACATAATCGTGCTCACTGAGCAATGTTCAGTATCCATTAAATAATATGAAATATAGGTTTAACCCCTTAAACGTATATTTCATATTATTTAATGGATACTGAACATTAAGGGGTTATTGAGAAAGGTTGTGTTATGGAACAAGACTGGTCTTATTTCTTATCGCAATTTATCAGTAGGCCATTTAGAACATTTGGCATGAAGTATGAACGTTTCAACGTTAGCTACCTTATCATGTGGTCGCTCTAAGCAGTAAGCTATTACTAAATGATCGAAACAGCCATTAGTCATGTTTTATGTAGAATTGTTTTGTGTCAATATGCAAAAAATAGCTCATTTAGCCTAAGTGAGACCAAAGACTCAAAAATGAAAAACCAAAATATACAAACGTAATATACAAACGTACAAACCTTCCCAGTCACGAGAATTATTTTTATTGAACATTTACTGATAATTATTACGCTACAGTTTGTGGTATCAATCTTTTCTTTTATCAATATACCCTTTGCTTCTTTTGTGATATCAATCTCTTGTTTTTATCAATTTACACTTTGCTTCTTTTGTGATATCAATCTGTTGTTTTTATCAATTTACCCTTTGCTTCTTTTGTGATATCAATCTCTTGTCGTCAGGATGTCCAACCCTACTCGGCACTACACCTCTAGAGAGCACGTTTCCTTGATTTTTGTAGTGGATTTGTAGTGCTTTTCACCCCTGTAGTGCTTTTATGTTCCGGGGTAGGTGGGACATGTTTTAGTTTTAAAATGGGTTCTGCCTGTCCCAAACCATCATAAAAATCAAGTTTCGACCTCTCAACCCACTCGGGCCACTCCCAGGGGCCACGCCCATCCCAAAATGACCGAAATCCAGCTAAATCCAGACTTTAAAATCTTTACCCCTGTAGTGCTTTTATGTTCCGGGGTAGGTGGGACATGTTTTAGTTTCAAAATGGGTTCTGCCTGTCCCAAACCATCATAAAAATTAAGTTTCGACCTCTCAACCCACTCGGGCCTCTCCCAGGGGCCACGCCCATCCCAAAATGACCGAAATCCAGCTAAATCCAGACTTTAAAATCTTTACCCCTGTAGTGCTTTTATGTTCCGGGGTAGGGTGGGACATGTTTTAGTTTCAAAATGGGTTCCAGCCTGTCCCAAACCATCATAAAAATCAGAGTTTCGACTCTCAACCCACTCGGGCCAACTCCCATGGGCCCACGCCCATCCCAAAATGACCCGAAATCCAGCTAAAATCCAGACTTTAAAATCCTATACCCCTTTAGTGCCTTTTATGTTCCGGGGTAGGTGGGACATGTTTTTAGTTAAAAAAAAGGGTATTTATTCTTGCCCCCCTGTCCACCCCCCCCCCCAAAACCCCCTCCATAAAAAATCAAGGGTTTAAGGGACCACCTCTCAACCTACTCGGGCCCACGCCCAAGGGTGCCACGCCCCCAAACCCAAAAATAAATGACGAAGTCCCAGCTGTAAAATCCAGACACTTTAAAAAATCTTTAAACCCCTGTAAGGTTGCGTTTTTTTAAATTATGTTATCCGGGAGAAAGGGTGTGGAAGACCACTGTTTATTTTTTAAGTTAATTTTTAAAAAAAAAATGGGTTCTGCCTGCCCCTTTGTACCCAAAACCCATCCAATAAAAAAGCAAGTTTCCGACCCTCCCTCAACCCACTCGGGTTGGCCCACTCCCCAGGTGGCCCCACGCCCCAAACCCCCAAAAAATGGAAACCCGGGGAAAAATCCCAGCTAAAATTTCCAGACTTTAAAAATCATTTTAACCCCCCTGTAAAGTGCTTTGTGTATGTTTACCGGGGGTCAGGGTGGGGGACATGGTTTTTTAGTTTAAAAATTGGGGAATATTTCCTCTGGCCTGTCCCCCAAAAAAACCAATTTAAAAAAAATCCACAAAGTTCCGGAACCTCTCCAACCACCAACTCGGGTCCACCTCCCAGTGGCCCCACTCCCCCCCACCCAAAAATGACCGAAAAAATTCCAAGCTAAATCCAGACCCTTAAAAAAATCTTTACCCCTGTATGAGTGCTTATATGTTCCCGGGGTAGGTGGGAAACCAATGTATTAATTTTCAAAAAAATGGGTATTATTCTGCCTGTCCCCCAAACCAACATAAAAAAAACCAAGTTTTTTCGACCTCTTCCCCAAAAACATGGCCCACTCGGGGCACAATTCCCCCAGGGGGCCCCACGCCTCCCCCATCCCCCAAATGAGAACCCGAAAATCCCAAGCCTTAAAAATCCCAAGAACTTTATTAAAAATCTTTTACCCCTGGAAGAGTGCTTTTTTTGTAGCCTGGGGTAGGTGGGGAACAATATTTTTTTTTGCGTTTTAAAAATGGGTATTTTCCGGCCCTGTCCCCCAAACCTCATAAAAAATCAATTTACGAACCTCTCTAAACACCCCACTCGGGCACACTCCCAAAGGGCCCCACCGCCACCATCCCCAAAAAAGACACCGAAATCCCAGCCCTACAAAATCCCAGACTTATAAAAATCTTTAAACCCCTGTAGTGGGCTTTATTTTATGTTGTCCCGGGGGTATAGGTTGGGGGACCCATTGTTTTTTATGTATTTAGTTTTTTTAAAAATTGGGGTTATTATTTTATTCCTGGCCTGTCCCAAAACCCCCCAATCATAAAAATTAAGTTTCCGACCCTCTCCAACCCCCCACTCCGGCCCTTCTCCCAGGGGCCCCACGGCCCCATCCCCTTAAATGACCCCGAAATCCAGCTCTAAAAGCCAGAAACATTTAAAAATCTTATACCCCTGTAAGTCCTTTTTAAAAGTTCCCCCGGGGGGGTAGGGAGTGGAAAAACCATGTTTTTAAGTTTTAAAAAAAATGGTACCCTGCCTGTCATCCCAAAACCATCATAAAACAATCAGTTCCGACCTCCCGCCCTCAACCCACTTCGGGCCACTGTCCCATGGGTGCCCCACGCCCCCCCATCCCAAAATTGGAACCGAATTCCAGCTAAAATTCACAGACTTTTAAAATCGTTTACCCCCCCTGTAAAGTGCTATTTTTTAAGTATGTTTACCGGGGTAAAAGGTTGGACATGGAAATTTTTTAGTTTTAAAAAAATGGGGTTTCTCTGCCACAGTTCCCCCCAAACCACAATAAAAAATCAAGTTTAAAGAAAACCCCTCTCAACCTCAAAACCCGGCCGGGGGCCACTCCCTAAGGGGGGCCAACGCCCAACCCCCCAAAAAATATGGAACACGAAAAATTCCAGCTAAAATCCCAGACCTTTAAAAATCTTTTACCCCCAGAAGTGGGGCTTTATTTAATTTATGTTTATTTCCCCGGGTAGGGTGGGGAAACATGGTTTTGTTTTGAGTTTTAAAAAAGGGTTTTATCTCTGCCTTGTGTCCCCAAAACCATCCATAAAAAATCAAAGTTTTATATTTCGACCTCTCACACCCAATCGGGGCCCCCCACATCCCATGGGGCCCAACGGCCCAACCCAACAAGAAAACCGAAATCCAGCTAAATTCCCCGAACTTTAACAATCCTTTACCCCTGTAAAGTGCCTTTTTTATGTTAATATTCCGGGGTTAAGGTGGGACCAAATGTTTTTAGTTATATTAAAAATGGGGTTTTCTGCCCTGTCCCCCCCCCCCCCACCCCCACACCATCCCATAAAAAATCAAAGTTTTTATTCCGCCGACCTCTTCCCCAAACCCACCTCGGGTACCCCACTCCCAGGGCCACCGGCCCCCAAACCCCAAATAATGACCGATAAATCCAGCCCTTAAATCCAGCTTACAAAAAAACATCTTTTTAACCCCTGTAAAGTTGCTATTTTTATGTCCCCCCCGGGGTGTAGGTGGGGACTGTTTTATTAAAAAGATTATTTCAAAAATGGGGTTTTCTGCCACGTCCCCCCCCAAACCCATACCCCCATAAAACAATCCAAAGTTTTGATTCGACCGCTCTCAACCCCAACTCGGGGGGGGGGGCCCATCCCAGGGGCCCCCCCCCTACGCCCCCCAACCCAAAAGAACCGAAAATCCAGCAAAATCCTAGACTTAAAAAAAATCTTTTAAACCCCTGTTCAAGAGCCCTTTTAAAAAATGTAACCCGATGGGTAAAAGGTGGGGACATGGTTTTAAGTTTTTTTTTTAAAAATGTTTTGTTGTTTCTCTGGCCCTGCACCTCCAAATAACCAATCCCAAATAAAAATCAAATTTTCTTCGTCGACCCCTCTTCAAAACACCCACCTTTCGGGGGGGGCCCACTCCCCAATGGGCCCACGCGCCCAACCCAAAATGGGAACCCCGAAAATCCAGCCCTAAAAATCCAGACCCCTTTAAAAATAATCTTTTTAGCACTACCCCTGTAAAAGTGGCTTTTTTATGTTTCCCGGGGGTAAGGTGGCCATGTTTTAAAAGGTTCAAAAATGGGTTCTGCCCCTGTCCCACCACCATCATCAAAAAAAATCAAAGTTTTTATTCGACCTCTCAACCCCCCACCCTCCGGGGGCCAACTCCCCCCCCCAAGGGCCAACGCCCATCCCAAAAAATTGAAACCGAAAAAATCCAGCCTAAAAGCCCGAACTTTTAAAATCCATTACTCCCTGTTAGTGGCCGTTTTATGTTCCCGGGGTAAGGTGGGAATCATGTTTTATTTTAAGTTTTTTTAAAAATGGTTT